CATTTCATTCATAATGATGTAAATCCAAGCCCATTATGTATTCATGATTTGAATCCTGGGTTGTGTGAAATCCCAGAAATAAACCCTAGACAAAGTGAATCTGTGAACTAAGGTGTGTTAGATCATGTTGTGGCGATCCTCGAGTTGGGGGATTTGTGTTCTGGAGTGCAAAATTAAAGCCAACGTAAGATGGACAAGAAAAGTTCAAAGTCATCAGGTGCTCAGTTTAGAAAAAATAGAAAAGAAGAGGAGGAGAAAAGAGCAAAAGATGCAGGTAAGCAGATGTGTCATTGGATAATGGCAGGTCATCCTGCAACAATCAGAATCAGAATACTTTATTACTCCCTAAGGAAATTATGTGCGTTACAGCTGCTCCAAGAAGAAATGGTAAAAATAGTAACAGTAACAGACTAAACTCCAAACAATACATTATGTTACAGATTTTAATATTAATTAGTCATTGTCAGTTGTTGATTCATCCTATTCTCATTGTATGACGAATTATGATGGCTGTTTGGTAGCTGTTTGCATACTATGCATACTCTCTCTCTCTTCATGTGTGTGTGTTTCTATGGCGAAATTCAGCGTGGTTCCGACAACAGTTTTATGTTAATGTACAATCCTTAATATGTTTTGTGTGTGTGTGGGGGGGTGGGGGTGGGGTGGGGTGTTCGCCCGGGGCGCCAAACAGGCTAGGACCGCCACTGGCTGTATTACTGGGTTACTAAACCCTGATTTTGTTTGTCAGTGTCTTATGACAGTGACGTAATAGCATGCGACGTCCGTGGCAGCAACAGACGTGTGCAGATCAACAGTGCGGGAGAGAGTGCGACCGTGCGGTGTTTAAAGCTTGGAAGTACTTACGTTACTTTGAGTTTGATTCTGTAAGAAGTGTCTGCTGTACACTCTGCGTGTGAAAAAAACTTCTTTCTACAGCAAAAAATTAAACTACAAATCATAGCAAGCACCCAGCACGCTGCCACAGGAATGTGAAATTCACAGAGAAATCCCCAGATCCTCCCCATTGACATGACCGCTGCAGCACTGGGAAAACCTGCGACGGCCCCACTCCTGCGAAACTGGTGAAAATAAGATTTAAGAGCGACAGGGCTAAGTGATGCTGAATCTTCGATTTTATTCATTTTTTGCTGTGTTTAACTTGCATTTATTTGAAAGAGTGATTGTAAACACAAAAAATAATTTATTTTATATGCTGGAATATGCAGATTGGTTTAAATCTGGTTTTCAAATCTGGTTTAAATGTAAAAAGAAATTCTTCCAGTCAGAGACAGTTGAATATAATTTAGTTTTTGCTTGATGAAATGTGCATAAAGTTAAAAGATTAAAACTAATAAAACAAGTTTTAAAAAGAGAATTTTCAATATTATATGATGGATTATGCAGAAAAAAATAGAATTAGGCTGAAAGGTCTATTGCTTTATTACATATTCAGGTTGTTTATCATGTTTTTTAAAAGTAACTAAGTAATAAAGTAACTAATTACTTTTGAAAATAAGTAATCACTAAAGTAAAGGGATTCGGAGAAATAAAGTGATTTGGAGAAGTAACTAATTACTGTTTTTAAGTAACTTGACCACCACTGCTCACTGAAACTTTATTTGTTCCAAAGCTCTCCAAAAGCAGCCACAGAATCCTACTGAACAGTGGCTGTTTTAGCTTGCTTCTGATTGGCTGAAATGAATCTGACTGAAATCATGTATTTTTTCCCACTCAGGCGTGTGTTAGCTCAGCTTCTCTGAGAACAGATTCGATTTTTGTATAATGTGCGCCAGGTGAGTTTAATTAAGGGACAAACTCCAGAGCCAACCAGTCGAGAGAAAGTAAAAGAGGAAACAAAATAAGTCTGGTTAGGTGAGGCAGAGTGAGGAAAAGGGTAAATAGAGTAGGAATTTTTACAACAACAAGGCATTCAGTAACACCATCAAGGGTCACAGTGTGAGAGGTCAGAGGTCGCTGAGAGTAAAATCAGCTTTTACAGTCTGAGGAAAAACAGTGGTTAACAAACTTATGTATATCTGTGATGGTCAGAGTGCACATAAACCCATAATGTAGTCACATGACCTCATTTCATTCAATGACTTGTAAATTAAATTCATCAAAGAGAGAAATTTTCTCCTTCAGTTAAATTTTCAGACTTCAAAGCAGAAAATTCAGGTTTCAGAAATCGTTTAAATCTTTTTCTGCAGTTCCTGTCTCTGCCTGTAGAGGGCAGCGCTCCCTTTAGCACCAATACCAGTCTTAGCGATAAATGATTTCTTCACTTCCTCAATGTGACCAGAATACTTCAGACAGCACGTCTGAATATGAGACTTTACAGAGACTACAGACTGTGAAACTCACAGAGACTGCACCTCAGTCTGAAAAACCCTCCATCCATATATCCATCCATTTTCTTCTGATGATGAAAATGTATGTGAAGTGATGATATGAAATTAAAATAAGCATAAATATTAAAACATTTACACAGACTTTAAATATTTTATTTTAATACACTTTTAAATATAAAATCTATTAATTATATATTAAATTATTAGATAGCCAGTGAATTTTAACTGACAGGACTTCGCCTGTCTGCTAACACTGACTGCTTTTAGTTTTGGACTGAAAGATAAAAGCAGCTGGAGTGTGACCAGTACAGAGTGGTTCTGCCTTCATTTCTGAGGGGTACTCTGAATCAGGTGAAGATTGTTAACCAATGAGCAAAGAAGCATCTGAGACGATGAAAGTATACCTCATGAAACCTCCTGAAATAAGTGTCATGTCTGCCCATTCTGTCACTGCAGGAACCAAAGAGACAGCGTTCATCTATGCGGTGATGGCAGCAGGGCTCGTCCATGCCGTCACGCGCTCCTGCAGCCAGGGCAATATGACGGAGTGCGGCTGCGATGCTCGGCTGCGGGGCGGCGGCTCAGCAGCAGAGGGCTGGCACTGGGGCGGCTGCTCAGATCACATCCAGTACGGGACGTGGTTCAGCCGCAAGTTCATGGACCACACATTGAAGAACATGTCGACGAGCCGCAGCAGCTACACGCTGAGCACCATGAACCAGCACAACAGCGAGGCCGGGCGACAGGTGAACGTCGACGACTCAAACTAAAGCTGAAAGTCTAAAGGTCCAAGGTGTGATTAACTTCCTGTTTGCGTCCTGCAGGCGATCAACAGGACGATGTCCACAGACTGTCGTTGTCACGGTGTTTCTGGCTCCTGCGCGGTGAAGACATGCTGGAGGACGATGGCGCCGTTTCAGCGGGTCGGGACGTATCTGAAGGACAGATACGAGCACAGCATGCAGGTGACGGAGCGATCCAAGAGGAAGATGAAGTGGAAGGACCAGCGGCGTCTCCATGTGGACAAACACCAGCTCATCTTCCTCAACAAGTCTCCAAACTACTGTCTGGAGGACAGGCGGCGGGGCATCGCGGGCACCAGAGGGCGCCGGTGCAACCGGACATCCACGGGGCCGGACAGCTGTAACCTGCTGTGCTGCGGCAGAGGATACAACACACACGTGGTCAGACACGTCCAGCGCTGCGAGTGCAAGTTTGTGTGGTGCTGCTACGTCCATTGCAGGCGCTGCGAGAGCATGAACGACATGCACACCTGTAAGTAACACACCTGGAAACAGAAACACATGGAACACGTAGCTCACCTTCATTCACCACAGCATGATACCTGGTAATAGAAGAACACCTGGAATAAAAGAAGGATTTGTGGGAAGAGACAAATTGGACATCTGGATCTGAAAGAGTGTAAACATAAGAAGGACTGAACCTCTCAGGTGAAGACAGATCCTCCTTGGACCAATCTGAGGTCAGCAGTACTTGGTACATTTACAGCAGCACATGGCACAGCTTCACCTTCTCTCTTGATAACATCACCATTAGAGTAAACCTGCAGAAGAGTCACAGAAGAAATGGGTGAGCAGCTGCCTGAGGGCCGAGCAGTGAAGGTGAAGCCTTAAGTTTACCTGTCGATGTGGCGAGGAGCTCAGAGCGGAGCTGCTGCTCCATGTGGAAAGATCCAGGTGAGCCACGTGACAGCCTCCTGCATGCCTCCTGTGTGAGCTGTTTCATGTTCACCTGTGAGCAGCAGACCCAGGACAGGATTTTACTGCCTGAACGTTTAAATGTTTCAGACTGGACAGACTTCTCCAACGTGTTTCTGAAGCATTCAGAGTGCCACCAGGAGGAGGATCAGTGCTGCTGCACACTCAATCTGAAGATCTAAATGACTGAAACACACCAGATGGACTCCTGATCAGTCTCACCAGTTCTGCAGCCCACAGACTGATTTCATATTTTAAAATAAAGATATTTATGTGTAAATAATTTTTAAAAGTTGATTATTTGGTATGGAATCATATTTTTATAATTTCTGTCCAAAAAGAATCAAACTGACATCAGATGGTGAAATGATCCCGTAAATGTGGACGTGAAGACTTCCTTGTTCAATTTCTGTTGGCAAACTTTATTAACAAAAACATGAAAACAACAGAACAAAAAGCTGTGAGTCTGTTTAAAGGTTCCACACAAATACGGTTTATTATACTTTGACTAATAAAAAATAAAATGCCTGGTAGAGAAAATGCTAGAGGAGATTTGGTTCAGTTTGTCTTTAACAAACCATAAAACTCCTCACAGGATATTCCAGAAACATTCCCAAAAAGGCATCCTGAAAGAAGGAAACCTTGTGAATAATCCAGAAACAGGAAATACTACATTCCAGCTGGAAGTACAGCAGTATAGCTGTACAGGCAGCTGATGATGTAGAGTAAAAGTACTTCATTACATCTGATCACAGAAGGCCCTGCCTATTCTGCCTCCACCTCACCCGAGAAGAGTCTTCTTTTTGATTTTTGAATAAAAGAATGATTAAAGACATCAGAAAGATGTAAATATAACAAACATATAAAACATATTAAGCCTGCACAGCTTTGTTCACATGGATGTGTTTAAATAAAGTTAGGAGAAAGTATCCTGTCTGTCAGTTGGTGATGAACGCATCCATCACTTCTTTCATTTGACAGTTTAAACAGCAGGAACAAAAGAACAGCTGATGAAACATCAGACCGTAGAAACAATTTGAGAAACATTCAAACTGATCTGAACTGTGCACAGCTCTCTGAGCTCTGCAGTAGCTCGATTCTTTTCTGTTTCAGCCGTTCAGTTGCAAATTTGCTGCTGTGCTTGGATCTTTGTCCTGCTGATGACCCAGGTTGGTCCCAACTTTATCTGTGGGACAGATGGCCTCACACTGAAGAACCACAAAAGAAGTTCAAGGTGCACTTAGATCATCATCCCTTCTCCACCGTGCTGACACTTGATCCAAGCTGTTTGCTGTGCGTGATGGACAAACATCTACATTTGGTCTCATCTGTCAAAGGATGTGTTCCTGAAGTCTTTGTTCAGATGCAGCTTTACAAACCCAATCCCTGCTGTTATGTCCTCTTACTGAGAAGAGGCTTTCTCCTCCAGCCCCTCTGAACAGCCATTCCTGTTCTGCCTTTTTCTAACCATGCTGTCATGAACTCTAACCTTTAACCTGCTAACTGAAGCCTGTAGAGTCTGAGATGTAGCTCTTGGAATTTAGTTTTTAATTTTTTTTGATCAGTCTAACCCTGTAAATAATTTACTGTAACCTTCAAACTGCTAAAACATGTCCTTTGGTAGAGGAGCTCAGACCGACGATGACGATCAGTTAATCAGTGCATTGATCATCAGCACATGGATGCAGTAAGGCTGGACTCTGCAACAGACAGACACCACAGTGCCCCGAGTTTTAGGATCTGTGCATTCCCAGAGTGTAAATTAGGGGTGTAAATGAGGGGTGTAACGTCTGTAACATCAAAAAAATGATCGTCCTGCTCAGCTGATCTCTGAGCTCAGTGAACTTTCTCCTGACCAATTTCAGTTCTGACTGAATCCAACATGGAGTTCATTTTGTTCGAGTAGCACAGCAAGGACTGATCGTGTGTACCTCAGATAAACTATTTAAACTTTGTACTTATTCATTATTCTTATATTCAGGCCTTCAAACCTTCAGGCATAGTTGCAGGGTTCAGGTTTGGGTTGAGGCCGCGGTCTCGTCGCATGTTGCTGAGTCAGAGAGGGTCCTCACAAAGACAGGAGTGTGTGTTATCAGTAGTGTGTGATGATGAGGCAGAAAGATTTGGGGAAAAAGTGAAAACATGTTCTTATTTACACTCCAGGATTTCCTGCCATTCTTACTGCACATCACTGAACAGGGTATGCCAGGCACAGATCCAGGGGCCCACAGGGTCAGGGGTCACACCCAGGCTCCTGTGTGTGATCATCTGCTGCCCTCAGCTTCTCCTCAGAAATCAAACATCTGCATTCCTGCGTGTTCACATTCACACATTCATACACACAGAAACTTTATAGCGAGCATGTCGACCGCGGCACTGCCGTCGGTGTGAGGTCAACGCAGGAGTGACGATTATGGCAACCTGAGACCAACTGAACTGTGT